CCTATATAGTTTAAGTTTAAAAAATTTGGCTCTCAAAAGAAATTTCAATCGTTGTACTGTTGATATTTGGCTCTGTTGACTAATGAGCTTGCCGACCACCGCTCTATACTAACTCACAGAAAGTTGTATATTGTTGATCCTTGAACAACATGTAGTTAAGGGTGCCAACCCCGACTCAGTGGAACATTCTTGTATAACTTTTCACTCTATAGTAGGTCCTATTAGTGGATTCAACCAAGTGGGGATAGAACCCAGTAATGTTGATCCCCAGGGAATCTGCAGGTCAGAAGCTACAGTTTCGATTGCAAAAATACTGTTTCCCATCCTGATTGATCCGATCTGCAGATGTTGAACCCAGGGATGAAAAGGGTGAACTATATTTACTGGGGGAAAATCTGCATACAAGTACTAGTATACTGGCATAGTTCAAACCAGTGCTGTTCAATGGTCAGTTGTACTATGATTACTGGGTTACAAAGGACACAAATGATGAGCCAGGTGCAGTAGGGTAGATTCCGAGGGCCCAAATCTCTGTCTCTGCGGAGCTGGGTGTGCCATGCCCCTAGTCCATTGGTATGTTTAGTAACAAGGAAGCCTCTTTAAATCTTATCCATCAGAGTTGTTATCCAGGTCTCACTACCTCGGCACCTGATTAAATCATTGACCAAGTGCCTGAACATCTCCTGACCTTCCACCCTCCCTGACCTCCAGGACTGGACATGCTAATCCTCTAACGAGGGATCTGGATCCTCTGATGACCAGCCCCCATCCAGACACTCTCTAGCCACTCACCTAGCGCCAGAACCTAAACTCATTCATTAGCATAAACCTGGGATGTTCAAAGAGGATTCCTTATTAACAAAATACACTCCTATTGCTCAGGAAATTCCAAGTACTTTAGGAGCTCTGTACCCAGAACCTGAAATAAAAAGCCAAATATATCTTTTTCATTATTCCATGCAAACTTTCCCAAATACTCAGTACAGTGGGGCCTTGACTTACGAGTGTCCGAACTAACGAGTTTTTTGAGATAAGAGCGGTCTCTCAGCCGATTTTTTGTTTCGAGTTGCGAGCTAAAATTCAGGTTACGAGCCAGCTTCAGATACCCCACCTCTAGTTGGCTCAGCAAACGTCACAGTGAACGCCACAACATCAGCCCAGCATCACGTGTCTCACTCCTTCACTTTTTGATTTGACATATGAGTAATTTGAGTTACAAGCTCCATCAAGGAACGGATTAAACTCATAAGTCAGGGCCCTACTGTGTCAGAGTTTCTCACCTTGTCCATTGTGTTTTGGGGATTTCTAAATGAGAAAATCTTGACTTCGCCCTTTTCTGTTCATCATGGAGCACAGTCTTGTGAAAACTGCCTTGATATGAAGTGTACAGAATTATTAAGATGTATATCTCTATTCGAGGGAGGTTGTCTAAAATTATACACTATATTTTTTGTATTTTGTAGGCTTTTGATGCATCAATTCAATTTGCTTGCTTTCTCTTTACTTATTATTATTATTTTATTCCTTACCTGAGAATATATTTTTCCATTGATTTTTTTAGAGAGAGTAGAAGGGGTGAAGGGAGAGAAAGGCAGAGAGAGAGAGAAAGAGAGAGAGAGATGTGAGAGAGACAATCGATTGGTTGCCTTCCGCATATGCCCCAACTGGGGTTGAACCTGAAACCAAGGTATGGTGCCCTTGACCAGGTATTGAACCCATGATCCTTTGGTGCACAGGCCGACACTAACCACTGAACAATGCCAACCAGGCATTTAGATAGAAAGTTAAATGCAATCTCTATTTAAAATAAAATTATTTCTCCACTTTAAATAAATTTCTCCATTTTATTTTCAATTTTTTCTGACATCAAGTCTATTCAAAGATAAAATTATAGGCTCAAAATCAATGAAATACTGGGTCATTTTCCATATATATATATATATATATATATATATATATATATATGTATTTTTTGTGTTTTAATCTGTTTCACTCTGGAAGTTTACTTTAAAGAGAGTCTGTCTTTAATATGTGTCTTTTTTCAATATAAATATACAAAATGTAAGAAAAATACAGTAAAAAATCATGATACCACATAATGTCACTATTTCTTTTCATTTTGATGAACATCCTGTCTAATAAAAGAGAAACATGGTAATTGGCATATGACCGCTACCCTTCCCATTGGTTAATCAGGGCAATATGCAAATTAACTGCCAGCCAAGATGGCAGCGGGCAGCCAGGCAGCTGGAAGCGAACATGAGGCTTGCTTGCTTCAGTGACGGAGGACTCCAACATTCCCCGCTTGCCTTTCCGGCCTCTGAGCTTGCAGTCTGAAACATTGTAACAAATATAGAAGCTAAACAAAACCCGAGAAACCAGCTTTCAGCGAGCCAGGATCTCAGAGCTGGAGTTGATACAGAGTTTCGATTATAGAACACAAATAAACCAGATACCTGTTTTCAGCAGCGGAGGCCTAAGAGCTGGAGACAGAGCTAAACCTGGCCCAGAATAAAAAAAAGAAAAAGAAAAAAAGGAGTGGTTGGGAGCTTCAGTCAGCTGGAAAACAGCCCTCAGCCCCTCACCCAGACTGGCCAGGCACCCCAATGGGGACCCCCACCCTGAAGGGTGTGTGACCAGCTGCAAACAGCCATCATTCCCTCACCTACGCTGGCCAGGCACCCCAGTGGGGACCCCCACCCTGATCCAGGACACCCTTCAGGGCAAACCAGCCAGCCCCCACCCATGCACCAGGCCTCTATTATATATAGTAAAAGGGTAATATGCCTTCCATCACCGGGATTGGCGGAGCCGCGAGGCCTCCCGGCACTGGGATCAGGGTGACAGGGGGCAGAGCCCAAACCCCCTGATGGCCCTGTGGCTCTGTGTGTGACAGGGGGCGGGGCCACAACCTCCCTATCCTCCCTGCTCAGTTCGTGACAGGGGAAGGCGCCCCAACCCCCTGATCGGCCCTGCTCTGTGTGTGACAGGGTGTGGCGCCCCAACCTCCCCCCCACAGGCCCTGCTCTGTGTGTGATGGGGTAGAGCCATAACCTCCCCATCGGCCATGCCCTGAGTGTGACAGGGGGCGGTGCCCCAACTCCCCTATCGACCCTACTCTGTGAGTGACAGGGGGGAGCTCCCCAACCCCCTGATGGGCCCTGCTCTGTGTGTGACAGGGGGCAGTGCCCCAACCCCTAATTGGCCCTGCTCTATGCGTGACAGGGGGGAGCTCCCTAACCAACCTCCTGATTTTCCCTGCTCCGTGCATGACAGAGGGGAGCTCCCCAACCCCCTGATTGACCCTGCTCTGTGCATGACAGAGGGGGGCTCCCCAACCCCCTGATTGACCCTGCTCTGTGTGTACAGGGTACGGAGCCCCAACCACCCTGATGGGCCCTGCTCTTTGCGTGACAGGGGGCAGTGCCCCAACCACCTGATCGGCCCTGCTCTGTGCGTGACAGGGGGTGGCACCGCAACCTCCCCATCGACCCTGCCTTGAGTGTGACGGGGGCGGTGCCCCAACCCCCCCAATCGGCCCTACCCTGAGCGTGACTGAGGGTGGCATCGCAATCTCCCAATCTGCTCTGCTCTGTGCATGACAGGTGGTGGCGTCCCAACTCCCCAATCGGCCCTGCTCAGAGCCCGACCAGGGGCTGCACCTAGGGATTGGGCCTGCCCTCTGCCACCTGGGAGCAGGCCTAAGCCAGCAGGTCGTTATCTCCCAACGGGTCCCAGACTGCGAGAGGGCACAGGCCGGGCTGAGGGCCCCCTCCCACCCCCCCCGAGTGCACAAATTTTTGTGCACCGGGCCTCTAGTACAAATACAAAATCCTTTTGGTTACTTAAGAAGTTCAGTGAGTTTTTGCTTTTTATTTCTTTTAATGAAAATATGATATAGTTTTATAGTGATAACATGTAGAAAAAATATGGTAGCAATTATTTTATTAATGAAATGTTTACTATAGCCTCCCTACATTTTCATATTCATCTGTATATTCACACATACATACATGCATGTGCCTGTTTAATGCTGGAATGAGAATGCCTATTCAACAATTTTATGGATTTAACAGAAATGAAGGTTTTTTTAATATGTATATATCCAAATGCACGCTAAGCTCTCTGTTATTAAAGACTAGAGGCCCGGTGTACAAAATTCGTGCAACAGAGAATGGGGGGAGGGGATCCCTCAGCCCGACCTGCACCTTCTGCAATCTGGGAGCCCTCAGGGGATGTCCTACTGACAGCTTAGTCCCACTCCCTGTCGTTCTCTGCTCTCTGTGGACCTACCTGCTTGTCTGCTTTCTGGCTCACTGCCATGGCCAAGGGCAAGCAGGGTCCTACTGTCTGCTCTCTGCGGGGTCCTGCTTGCCCCTCGCCACCTCAGCCAGAGGTAAGCAGGGACCTAGTGTCTGCTCTCTGTAAGTGGCAATCAGGGCCCTGCCGTCTGCTCTCTGGCTCGCCACTGCGGCCAGGGGTAAGCAGGGCGCTGGTGTCTGCTCTCACCAAGGGGAAAACAGGGCTGAGAGGACCGGACACTCCAACAGCGGGGCTGAGGGGACTGGGTGCTGCCATCTTGTGGCTATGGGTGCGCCATCGTTGTTGTGGAGTGATGGTTAATTTGCATATTACCCTTTTATTAGATAAGACTAGAGGCCTGGTGCATGAATTTGTGCACAAGTGGGGTCCCCTGGCCGGCCAGAGGGAGGGAATGTGAGAGGTTGGCTGGCCAGCCCCCCCATCAGGGACAATTGGGGGGGGCTGCTGACCCAGGGGAGGGGCCGCAAGAGGTTGGCTGGCTGGGTGAGGGACTGTGGGAGGTTGGCTGGCCACAGGAGGTTGGCTGTGGGAGCGCCCTGACTTCTAGGGGGCTGCTCCTGTGTTGAGCACCTGCCCCCTCGTGGTCAGTACATGTCATAGCGACTGGTCATTTGGTTGTTTGGATGCTTAAGCTTTTATATATATAGATAATTGTTTTTGTTTTTGTTTTTTTTTAGGGAACCTTCAAAGCATCAAGACATTCAGTTTCACCAGATTTGAAATATGTTCTTCTGGCATATGATGTCAAACAGGTAAAGAAGTGATCTCCTTTGTTAAACTTTTCCTTGTGATGCAATCAGCTGGCGTTTATAGTTTTCCTTGGTTATCTACTCATCTAGAGAAAACTTGGCTTATCTATAGCTGCAGGGGTCACTGATGAGCAATATTGCACAAGAGAAGTTCTTAGGCAATGTCCTTCCACACCTGTCTAGCAAGTACCTGGTGCAGTGGTCCTCCAAGTCCATCTCTTTCAGAGGGGAGTGCTTCAGGTTAGCTGTTCTGACGGGAGATTTTGACCTTTTCAGGATAGCTTTACTCCGTATTTGAATGTTTCATGTGTGTATACACTAGGGAATTTTCTTAATGGCTGTGCCCTGAATGGCAGTGTGGATAGTGGGAAGGGACTGGTGAGAACATTTACTTAAGTTATGGTGAATGTGGTTTTTGGTGGTATTTAAGCATAAGCCTTATGGTTGTAAAAAGTTCTGAAAGTAGGGCAAGCCAAGAAATTAATTCTGAAGAAATAAAATATTCTAATTGCAATTGGGGTTTTATGATTCCATGTCAGCTCCACAGCACAATTAGAGCAGTACTATGGTTGAGTATTTAGTACTTAGATGTAATTCTCACTGTTAAAAAGCAAAGTAAATGTTGAAAAGCCAGTTCAGCAGATTAGTTTCTGTGGAAAATAAGTGATTGGAAATCATTCAAGAAAGTTTTATGTGCTTTAGGACAGACAATAAAAATTTATAGACTTAAGGCAGAAAGCCTCATATAATGTATTGAAAGCTTTTGAGCACATAAAATGTCACAGTTCAGAGGACCTTCTGTTTGATGGTTTTAGTTATTTGAATTACATATGTGCTATATTTTTAATGAGTTTATGTTTTTATTTAAAATAAGCAACTTACACTGAAAAAAAGAGTAGAGGAGATTGCAATCAAAGACATTTTTATTCTATGATGTATCCTGGCCTTTTTACCTCAAATTTTGCTTTGTTATCTCTATTTAATTACATTTTTGAAAACCACATGTAACAGTAGAAAAAATAATTGATTTTTAAAAATGAAAATATACAACACCCCCAACTTTTTGAAAATAATATTCTTTTTAAACAATTTTAACTGAAAAGTGTTATATTAAACTGATAATAAATATCTTTTTGTGTGTTTTTTAATCAGATCTCAGTAGCTACAGAACTTAAGGCTAAGTGGCATTGGCAGAGGGATTGACACACAAATCAATAAAATGGAATAATAAATCCAGAAATAGTCCCATACAAATAGGCCTAATTGATTTCTGATAAATGTGCAAAAGCAATTTAATGGGAGGAAGACAGTCTTTTCCACAAATGGTTCTGGGGCAACTGGACTTCCATAGGCAAACCATACAAAAATACACTCACCTAAGTCTTACACTATGTAAAAACTCATTTATGGATTTAAATGTAGAAATGTCAATCAATAAAACTTTTACTGAAACCCTAGCAGAAAATCTTTGGGATCTATGGCTATAGAAATAGTTCTCACACTATATCAAATTTATAGTGTGTACAAAGAAAAAAAGCTTTGTTCTGTGAAAGATGTTGTTATGAAGATCCTATATAATTAAAGCCTAATATGGTAAGTGCCCAGTTGACCAGTCAGTCGTTCAACCAATCAAAACGTAATATGCTAATGATATGCTAAGGTTACTCAACTGCTCACTATCATGTGCACTGACCACCAGGGGCAGAAGCTCCGATCAGTAGGTTAGCTTGCTACTGGGGTCTGGCTGATTGGGACTGATCAAGATGGGCCAACCCCGCTCCGTGCCCCCCTGATGAAGTCCTCCTGCAGTCCCTCCCCTGCTGGCCAACCTCCTGTGTCCCTCCCTGGCCCTGATCGTGCACTGGTGGGGTTCCTTGGCCTGGCCTGCACCTTCTCACAGTCTGGGACCCCTCGGGGAATACCAGAGAGCCGGTTTCAGCCTGATCCCACAGGCCAGGCTGAGGGACCCCACTGGTGCACGAATTTGTGCACTGGGTCTCTAGTTAAAATGTAAGGTACAGACTGGAATAGAATACTTGCAATTCAGATATTCAACAAAGGACTAATACCTAGAATATATCAAACTATCAAACGCAAGAATTACAAATATATATATATAATCAGAAAATGGGCAAAGACATGAGACATTTCATTGAAGAGGACATACAGATGCAAATAAGAACATAAAAATGCAGTTAACATCATTAGCCATTAAATAAATGCAAATTAAAACAAGAAGGGTTGCTGCTACCCTCATATCAGAATGGCTAAAATAAAATAAAAATGATTACACCAAATGATGACTAGCATTCAGGGAAACTGGATCAATCATACATTGCTGTTTGGAATGTAATAATGGTAGGACTGCTCTGGGATATAATGTATAAAATTAGGTTAACTTTGAATACTTGAGCAAAATATGTCAAGATTATATGAGAATATAATTAATGCCAAAAATGTAAATTAATATATTAAGAAAATCTTAATATTGGCTACTCTCTTCTTTGTGTTTTTGTTTTTGTTTGTTTGTTTAATTTCAGGAAAAATAGTTTATGATAATCAGTACTGGATTATTTTAATAAGAAAAAATGATCAAACTAAATTTCACACTCTTATTTCACTTCATTTATTACTCATTCTATTTATTCATCAACTGTTAGGTGTACACAACTGGAACAGGCATTGTGTAAGTTTGTGTGTGTGTGTGTGTGAATCAGCTCATTTAAGAAATATAGACTCAGGTAGAAGTAATATGACCAAACGTATCTACCACATACAAGGTTGGAGAGGGAAGCATATGAGTCTTTGAAGGTCAAATGAGGACAGATGAAAGAAAAACATTCCAGGTGTGAAGATAACATGGGATTTCATGGGAGGAGCCTTGTCTTTGAGGGATAGCAGTCAATTCAGACTTATCCACGGGTTGACCATTTGGGCTTAATAAATATTTTAAGCCCAAATTAGAAAAGAACTTGAAATTTCATTCTATTCTGTACTGATTATACTAAGGCAGCAATTGGGATTATTGACAGTTTTAGAGTAATTAAATGTCATGCTTACCTTGTGTGTGTGTGTGTGTGTATCCACATGCACATGTGTATAATGCCCATTAACAAAGATGGAAATAAACAATCACACAAAATCCAACCACCCAAACACATCTTCTAAAAGTATTTTGGTGTGTTTAATTCCTTTTATCCCCTTTATACATAAAAGTGGGGAAACAGGAGCTACCCTATATACTACACATTGTTTTAGGTGCATGCTATTATCCTGATTTCAGAAAGGAGAAAAGTTAATCTCCTTGAAAAGCTGGAAAATGCAGGATCAGACAGATTTAGAAATTTATCCAAGGTCTTTCAAGTAGGAAATAATAGCTGCACCCAAGCAAATTGGCTTTGTAAGATGATTTGTCTTTATCTTCATTACAAGGCAAATGAGCTGAACTAGAAAAGCTCAAATAAAGGCTGGATTCCAACTTTCAGATAGTCTACTGGTGGTGATGGTGCTTAAACCTGGCTGCCTCTCCTGAGTGGTCTTAGTGATGGGAGGGCATCTCTCTGACAGTTCAGTTCTTTTATGCCCAGTCTCCTTCTCACGGTTGCAGTGCTTGTCTGACCCTGGTAGCATCTCAGTTGGTGACTCTGTTTACACAGAAACAGAATCTGAAGCAAAGCAAGCAGAAACCTTTAGGTTCATGCCCATGAAATACTGGAGAAAGGAGCAGGAAATCAGATAATCTTTACCATTTCCCTATGTTTTTTAAATGTTAAATTTGCATGATCAAAGGCCAAGTAAATAGAAAAAAATAAGTTCTACTTCTTATATCCAAATTGTTGGGATTATCCAACTCTTTTTTTGGGGATGTAACAAATATTTAAGAGAAATATTTATAAAATAAACACTATATTATTTGACCAAGAAAAGAAGATCCACTCAGTGTTTTTTTTTTCTCTCGGGCTTGTGAACATCAATATGAAGACTGATTAATATAGTTCAGCAGGAGTTTTCCTGCCTGAATCCTCACATCTTCACTCTTGACTAAAAAATGGAGGAAGGATGAATGACAGGTCCTGGAGAGAAAGACATGATATCACTTATATGTGGATTTTAAAAACCAAACTTTTAAAAATAGAGAATAAAATGAGGATACCAGGATATGGCAGGTGGGGGGACAGGACAGATGCTTTTTAGGGTTCAAACTTAGAACAAGTAATAAATAAGACCTAGAGATATAACACAGAGCACAATAAACTTAAACAACAGTAACGACACTAATAAAAGAGAAAGATGCAAATCGACTGTACCTTCACGACACCCACCAGCCAATGAAGAATGAGCATGCAAATTAACCCAACAAAGATGGTGGGCTAATTTGCTTGTGCAGGCTCTGAGCAGCCGGGCATGGGGCTGGATGCTTGCATTGTCGCCATGGCGATACAGGTGTTCCACACTGCCCTAGCCTCTGGGCAGCGTGGGAAGGCGGGAAGGTGGTGCCGGCAGCCAGGGGAAGGAAGGCCCATTCTTGCACAAATCTTCGTGCATCGGGCTTCTAGTTGTACTATAATTATCAAACTTGATAGACTAGAACTTAATTATTCCAACTACTTAAAGGAAAGGATAATTTTGTAACATGGTAGAGGTGCTAATTATCCTTACAATGGCAATCACATTACAGTATATAAACATATCAAATTAACAGGTGGAACACCTTAAATTTACACAGTGTTAAATATCAAATATAGCCAAAACTGGTTTGGCTCAGTGGATGGAGCGTCGGCCTGCGGACTGAAAGGTCCCAGGTTCGATTCCGGTCAAGGGAATGTACCTGGGTTGCGGGCACGTCCCCAGTAGGTGGTGTGCAGGAGGCAGCTGATCGATGTCTCTCTCTCATCGATGTTTCTAACTCTCTATCTCTCTCCCTTTCTCTCTGTAAAAAAATCAATAAAATATATTTTAAAAAAATATATCAAATATATTTCAAATAAAAAAAGAGTTCTGGG